TTCTGAACATTGTAAACGTTTATTACAAACAACAGCATGAAAAACAAGTAACCAACGAGAAGGTTCTTTGAACCCATTAAACTTTCGTCATCATCGTCACACAACCACAACACGTGATCCAGCGCCCTCTGGTGGCTAAGCTCAACCCTCACAGCTCAAACGAGCATGAAATCACATCCTGGCATCGCAGAAGAGCTTCTTTCTGAACACCGAGAGGAGTTTCCAAACCAGACACATGGAAGTTCAGGACGTCGATATCCGAGGCGCCGAACCTCGCGCGCACGCGCACTTTCTCGTGCATGTTAAACTCGACGTGTTTGTCCGTCATCAATAAGAGAGTCCGCAGAAATCTCTCGCGCAGATCTGAGCGCAGTCGCTGCTCCTCTTCATCAACAGCTCCCGATGAAGATGAGGAGGAGAGTGTTGTGGGACAGAGAGCGATGAAGCGCGGGGAGTTCGGGTCGAAGCCTCGGCTATTCGGGTCCGGGCCGCGGGGAAGCCGGAGAACACTGACGGGAGTCTTCATACTGATCTGATTAAACAACACACACATCACGAACTTGCATATGCTAATTGTGACTTTACTTTAAAGATATAAAGTGGCATCCGTTGCCGCAACTGCTGTTTGTTTACGTACCTCGTTCAGTATGAGCGACGCGTTGTAACTGCATATATCCGGTTTTTGTTTTCAAAATAAAAGTCATAAAGCCGGGCAAAAAGAAGTCACTAGACAAGGCGTTATGAAATCAAAACGGAAAGTTCGTATTTTTTTTTTATGTGGAATATTGCAGTATTTATTATAAATTATATATGCATGCAAGATTGTTTTTCATATATTTTAAAATAATTATTTTATGGAGTAATGAGTTTGAAAAAAAAAAAAAAAACTAGGTGCACTCCTTCTACCATGAAAACAAAATAGACAATTTTTTTTTAACAGAATATTGAGGTATTTATTTTGAACGATTTATCCGTGCACATCATCATTTTTTTTTTAATTTATCTTGAATCTGAAAATCTTCCCCTCCCTCTTGTAGCGTCTCTTCTCTGATAATGTGGGCGGGGCAACCTGTCACTCACACGGGATCCACCAATTGCAACCCACAACCATCCAATCAAGTAAATGTGTTCTTTTTAAATTAAAAAGAACACATTTAAATTATTATTATTAAATTATTATTATTTAAAAATTTTTTACAGTTCTTGTTCCAGAGATACATCACAATAGGGGCTTTCGCACCGGAAGTATTCTTTAATAGTATCCTGACAAAACGTTGATGGTGTCAAAATATAAACTAAGTAGCCTATGCAAATTGTACTTTTTGTGATTCATAATCAGAGATATCTTACATCTTCTTTTTCGGCATTGTGATCATACAAGAAAACTTGGGCAAGACATTTGCCAGTTCACTGTAAAACTAAATATATAAAGACGTTGAGCTTTATTTCAAGGCTGTTTTGCTTGTTTTTCCATTTTTTTTTTTTTTTGAGAAGCAATATGAGAATATATATAAATATATATATATATTTTTTGCAACTTAATTATTTTGCTTGCGAAATATTTTGTCCACAAATGTAAAACTATTAAAGTTATCCCCATTTTTTCTCACTTTCAAAATGATATTAAGATCTACATCAAATCTTCACCTCTTGTAACAAAAAAGCCTCTTGTCCCTGTACCTCTGGCTCTTTTTCTTTATCTCATTATTGCAGTCAAATAACTTTTTGTGAAAATTGTTCAATACTATACTTTTGGGTAAATATAGAAAATATAGATTTATGGTTGCGCTCAGTCTTCCGGAAGACTGAGCAACCATCCGTTTCCTATTTTTGTTATATTTCCATATTTCAGTTTCAATGTTATTTCCTTTTTTCTTGAATATTGAGTCAACAATTTATAATAAAAGTTAATTACAGATTACAATAATTAACCATACTTTATTTATTTACAATACAATAACCAATACAACCAGACATTTTTACATCTTAAAATGATGCAAAAACAGGCTATAAGGAACTTTTTTTTGGTATTTATTTGTTAATGATATAACAATATTTAGAAGTTGAGTCCTATATGAATGCATGTTGAATGCAAGCACAAATGAATGTAGGAAGTGGCGCGTGAAAAAGCTTCCTACAGATGACTCATTTCTAGACTGCACTTTGAATTATTGACCCTGCCCATTTCTCATAACTGGGGGAATCCCAACAAAACACGAAGTTTGAATGGAAATCGTTTAGTTTCAGTTTTCTGTAACCCATCTCAAGCAATGCACTGACTGGACTGCCTATAGTAAATCCAAATCAAAACTACACCCTTTTCTTCCCGCACTTCCTCTTTTTGTAAATGGTCTTCCTATATTTGTTTTTGTTATCATCATGATTTTGTTAAACGGCCATAAGTTATGTTGTCATGTGCATAATGACGCATCCGACAGTGTGGACTTCCTCAAATATCTTCTGCACCAGAGCCTGACGACTTGATCTCTCTTTACATCCTAAAACAACCGTAAGTGCAAATCTACTCACTGTCGAACATTTTACCAGTTAATTATGCTTTGAATATGATAATATTCAATATATTTAATATATAACTTGCAGTATACTTCAAAAAATCACAAACTATTCAGGCTTTAAAAAAGTTAAAGTGATCCAGGAAAAAATGTGGAACTGATATCAACATTACGCAGACGACACTGTGCATGTCATACAGTTTCTTTCTATCGTGTGAAAATTACTGTTTCAATTGCAATTACTGTTGTGTGCATGGTGTACGGTGCAGTACTGTAGCCTACAATATTGCATGTGCTTGTTGTAGTTTATACCTTGAAAGGATGGAGAAGAATGGAGGAAACCCACGCCAGCAGCATTATGGGTAAGTCTTAGTTTTGTGTTGCAATGTCCTGTGTATCATACATAAAGGCAGAAGTTAATCATTATAAGGCAAAATAAAGAGTTTAGATTGTGATAGCGGGACCACAAGAAGATACCGACATTACGACAGCAAAAAAAAGTCAAAGGAACCAAAATTTACATAAAACTATTTTGAGCTGTATAGTCGTCGCTCAGGATATTGCGGAGCAAAACAGTGGACACATGATAACACTGTGTCATTATGGGACATATTACAACACCAATACAGTGATATACACATTACTGTAACTTGACCTTTTTTTTTTTTACTATTACTTGACCTTTGCGAATGTCTTTTTTATTTTTAATATTTATTTGGAACATGTGAGACTCTTTTCATGATTCATTGATGAATAAAATATTAAACAGCAGTTATTCAAAATAGAAATCTTTTCTAACTATAAATGAATGAATGAACGAATGAATGAATACATTGAACAACAACAATCCAGACAAAGTGTGCAAAAGGATAAAATCACAAAACACCCCCAAAGGATTGTGGTCCTTAAATAGATATAAATCTTTATTTTTTTTATTTTAACACATCCTTTCTGAATAAGTCTTAATTTCTTTCAAAAATAAAGAAAACAAAATACAAACATTTGAATGGTATATTGTGACATATCATATATATATATATATATATATATATGCTGTTATTTTAAACACTTTTTATTAATCAAAAAAATCCTAAAAAAAAGTATCAGAGGTTATAAAAAAAATTAAGCAGGACAATTTTTTCCAACATTGTTATTAAATCTCATGATTTCTGAAGGATTGTGTGACACTGAAAATTGAAGTAATGATGCCGAAAAATAACCTTTGCATCACAGAAATATTTTATTTTAAAGATATTCAAATAGCAAACCATTATTTTAAATTGTAATAATATTTAACAATATTAAAGTTTTTTTTCTGTATTTGTGATCAAATAAATTAACATAAAATAATACATACATAATAAAACATAAGAAAACAAAACAAAAACAACAACAAGCATTAGATATAGTAATGATCCCAAACTTTTGACCATCGGTACTTCATACATTTTATACATTATATGCAAAAATAAATGATTTGATAAATATTTAAAATACATAGAAACCAGGTAATGAAAATGCAGGCTTGTTTTAAACTTTGGGTCGAATATGGACAAACCTAGCCATTTTGGGTTATTTTTTTTAATTATATTTTAACCCAATGTTTGGGTTTGCCCATATTTGACCCAAAGTTGGGTTAAAACAACCCAGCATTGTTTAGAGTGCATGCGTCTGTGTTTTACATACACACTCTAAAAAATACTGGGTTGTTTCAACCCAATTTTGGGTCAAATATGGACAAACCCAGCAATTGGGTTACATTTTTAAATGACATTTATAACCCAATGTTGGAATTCGTCCATATTGGGTTGAAACAACCAGTGTAGAGGTTGATGATTCACTTGTTTTCCAGGCTGGTTCCGTCAGCGTTTTGGAAAGCAAAGGAATGAGTCGAACCAAAGCAAAGTAAGCACATGTTCTCAGGAGTGCTCATCTGGACACTCCAACACCACATCCATCTCCTCTTCATCCTCTTCCTCATCTACACCTTCGACGTCAGCGAAACCGTCCGCTTCAGAAAAGCCTCTTCCCTCAGTGCTCTTCTCATCCTCACGCTCATCTCGCAGATATGACGTGTATCTGTGTCACACTGAGAAGGACTTCGATCTAGCACAGAGTTTGGCCGCTTTCCTTGAAGATCCCTGTAAAGGCCTGCGCTGCTTCCTGCAGGACCGGGACTGTCCTCTAGGCGGCGCTGTGTCCACTGAGATCCTGCAAGCCGTGCGGGACAGCCACTGCTGGGTGCTTCTGCTCACCCCACACTTTCTGAAGGACGAGTGGTGCTTATATCAGATGCACCAGGTCCTGTGTGAGGGACCCATGTCCCAGAGGATCATCCCTGCCTTTATAAACATGCCCAGATCCCAGATCCCGCTGGAACTGCGCTACGTCTTTACTGTGGATCTGAATGCGAACAAAGAGTCTGGCTACTTTCAAGTGTACACGGCCGTGCTTCGATGTGAGTAGAATATTGTGTTGGTCTATATACAAATGATTCGGCGACTCTGTGTTTTTTGGATTATATATATATATTTTTTTTTAAATATCTAGGCTTACAGTTAAGATTTATGGACTGCATATAAAATTGCCATCCCTTTGGATTACACAGTTTTAACGTAATTATATACATAATGCATATATGTCAGTCGTACATAAATGAAACAGGTAAGATTTCTGTGATAGTACTGCATTTTAAAAACAATAACCACATTTATCAGTAATAAACCCAAGTCTGTTTCCAATCTCATACATTTCAACTGGCCATATTTTACCCACTTTCATACTTTTTAATGGAATAAATACAACAATAAACTGTCACGTTTCTGGTGTGTTAATACACTCAAGGAAGTGCGGACACAAAAAGACTTCAATCAAAACATATTGGACAGATATGCCTGGACAGAAAACTGATCAAAAACACTCGAAACATTTACATTTATGCTGAATTGAATAAAAATATTTTAAAAATTATTATTAATAGATGCAAATAGTTAATAATATGCCATGATTTTTTTTTTTAAGTGCAGAAATCTTATCTATTTCATTTATGTATGACTAATGCATCACATTATGTATATTAGTTTAATGTTATATCTGGGCCTGTGTCAGATTTATATTATAACGAATAAGTAATTACTTTGCGACCGCTATACAAGTATGTAATAAATAGCATGCTATGAATGTGTGTAATATAAATGTTATCTGGATGTAGGCTACTACTTCATTATCACATGACCCCCATTCATAAATTTAAATCGTAAAATCATAAAAATCATTGTACAGTAGGGATGGGAATCTTTAAGCAGCTCATGATCTGATCTACTTTTTTCTTATTAATTAATCTTAATAAAACTTAAAATATGTATTTAATTATATGTGTAAAAATACATAATTTAAAAAAATATATATATAAAAAACATTTAATTAAACCAATTACATATTAAAAATTTTAAAAAGGCTATATAATCTAATATAGCTTCAAAATATAAAAGAATATCCACCTTATTCTGCGTCCGTTCTATTTCCCATGATTCATTGCGGTTTGACTAAAACGGTCTTTTGGGAGGTGATGGAAACTACAGTCGTTGGCAGGATCGCTCTGATTTTGTTTTCGGCTTATGTTCAAAACAATCACGTTTAAGCCACTGAATTAGTTTAGTCCGGTTAATACGTACAACCGCGATCAGCACATGTTGTCCATGAGCTCCGTAATCACATCTCTCATAAAGATTTAAGTCTAATTATAGTAAAATAATTATCCGAAAAACAGCTAGCCTCTTCGCTAACTAACACACAAAATACCATTGGAATGCTACTTCCGCCGCCTTACCGGAAGTTTCACCTACTTTATTTTTTTACAGGAGCGCCCCCGGAAACTTGTGGATACAATGATATATTATATAGATCGGTGGTCTAGACATTAGAAAAATATCAGTCTACACATGCGTTTTATATTCACAAAGACACTTCTTCCATCATACCGGAATATAAACGTTACAGTTAAGCTGACCTAAAGTTAAGTTAGCTAACTTAGCTATCTCGCATGGCTGTGAAATTATTCAACATAATTTGGAAAAGTACACCCCTTAAAAATAAGTAACCTGTGTATAAGATGGTGTATTAACACAACAACAGCAATATAATATGTTAGCTGGTTACTCACCAGGATTTGGAAGTGAATAATTAGCGCAAATGTAAGTGAAGGCAGTTGAACTTACAGTGGTGAAGTGAGTGTGACTGTCCGAGAGCCGTTATGCAGATGTGCTTTTCCGATATTGCCAGGATGTGACGTCGATCTTTTTGTAGTCAATTTGTAGTCCATGATGATTATTTTTAAAATCAGCCTCAATATCAGATTAAATATACCGTTTATAGTATATGCTGTCATTTTAAACGTAAACTAAATTTAAACATGCTAGGATTTAAATAGATAAAAACAGTAAACACACATGCAAAATACATATTCAGGCTAAGTCTTTTAGATGTTGAAAATCCATCTCATTGATTTACACTGAGTAATAAATAAAAAAAAGAATGTCAATGATATTGACCTGAGATGTAGGGACCAGAAAAAAAAAACATGCCAGATTTGTTGTAATAATTACAAAATATAATGAAAATATGCATATTCATGCATGGTATACATGGTGGTCAAAATCTTGACTATTTGTTGACTATAAATTGACGTCAAGGTGCCCACTGGGATATGATATCAAACCACAATGTCGATTAGGCTGTGTTCCAGTCATAATATATACACATAATGAGATATTTTGCAGAATGTCCACCCTGCTCTCTTTCTGAACGGTGATACTGTCAAGTTCAAAAACCGGACAAAAAAGTCACATTTATTTTTATATAGTGCTTTTTACAATACTGGTTGTTTTAATGCAGCTTTACAGAGATAACAGGAAAATAATGCAACCAAGTTTTTTTCCCCCAGAAGAAATTAGCGTCACAGTCCAGGTTGAGTAAGTTCAGTGGTTTCATTTTTGTTGTAAAAAAAAAAGAATAATTTTGTTCATATATATTTAAAGCCGCTCTGTGATGTCATCATCCAGCTCAGTTCTAACGGTGTCAATGCAGGCATATCAATAATATTGTTGAATATTAAAATACATTTTAAATTAAAGTAATCTATTGTAATGCAACTCATGTGAAAATTATCGAATTATATAATAATGAAATAAAATAATAATTTTATTAACTAAAATATTTACCTGTTCTCCTAACGTGTCATGCTTTTACACTTTGAACCGTACCACAAATTAGTATTTAAAAAAAAAACATATTTGCACAATTTGTTTTCCTTCTGACTCCGTTCTCTTCTAGTGGAGAAAGTGTTTTGTTGTGACCAAAATTTTATCCCATCAGAGATAAAGCCTCATTTCTGTAAACCAGAAGGGAATGTTTATATTTATATTATTTATTTTATTTTTTTTACAGATTTGAAGGACATGTGTGAGAAGGAAAAGCCCATCAATGAGTCCAACAGCTGAGAAGACACTACCAACATTCATTGCATTCACCGCAATGACACTATTCTTCACTTCCAAGAAGTGACATGCAAACAAGTATATCCTCCTTTTTTTTTCCATATCATGGGTGTAACCCAAGAAGACTTCATGTAAACATTTGTATTGCGTTAAAACTATCTTGTGAAATGAGCCCTAGATGGTAATAGAAAGTCACAATGCATGAGCTCAAGCATAAAATAGTTTCCCTTGCTGTTTTTAGGTCAAAGTCAGATTAGAGAAAGTGCTTATGTAACATACCCAACCAAAAATTATTTTAAAATTATGCTCTCATTCAAACACACCCACCCACACACACATATGCACAGAAAGAAATGAAACCAGATATAAATGACACGACAGGCATTTATAGCCACGAAGAATCTCATACCTGTATTAAGTATAAGTGTTTACATGCAGATATGATCTTAAGTTAACCACAGAGAGCTCATGTTTGCTTGTCATCTGTGGTTGAAAAAACTGAGGCTTGAAGAAGATGCTTCACTGGCATTTCAATGCTTTCAAAATGAGTTTATGTAAACCAACAGGACACCTCAAAGAACTGCAGCTATGATTAAATGTCCCTGGCAAATAACATGTCACGCCGTAATCCTCATCGACAAATGCACTCAACACAGTTATAAAGTCTGCATTAAATTGGTTGAAAAATCCACAAACAACTGTTTGCATGCTTGTACAAAACTACTTTACTGCGGGTTCACGGATGAAATCGGAGAAGTGCAAGTATGTGCATCTTAGCAAAACCTTGCAGAGAGAATAACCACATACTTAGACAGAGCTGGTTTGTTTGGAGGATTATATACTGTACGATTATGTTGTATTTAAAATTAAGCCCACTTTCATACAATGCTCATTGTGTGTGTGTGTGTAGTGTTGTAACATGTGGTCAGTTCAGGAAAGAGCTGTGATGATGTCATCAACACTCTCACATCAGCCTTTTGAGGTCACAGAAAAAGTGATGTTACTCTATAGGCAACATTGCAAATGTTGTGAGCAAAAAAAAAAAAGATCTTTAGGAATTAAAGTATTATTTTTTTTTGCCTATAGCAATCATTTAATAGATACAGTTTTTGAAGTAGCTTTCTCTCTAGTTTCATACTAACTTCAAACCCACATGCTAAAACTGTTAACCAAGTTATGACTGTTAAAGGGCGGGGATAGTTAATAAAGATTGTTAATTAAAAGTGTTACAACTAACCCATTATGAGTTTTTTGTTATTCGTGGCAAATAGATTTGTGGTAAATATGACTCATTGTTTATGAGTCGGATCAAAATATTATCCGCCTCAGTTTAACTTTTTTTATTTGTTGCAGACAGTGATGCATCAATGCCAATGCCAATGCTCAAACAAAAGGTGTTTCTTTCATCCCAGGTCTCTCTCTCTAATATATATACACTCACCTAAAGGATTATTAGGAACACCATACTAATACTGTGTTTGACCCCCTTTCACCTTCAGAACTGCCTTAATTCTACGTGGCATTGATTCAACAAGGTGCTGAAAGCATTCTTTAGAAATGTTGGCCCATATTGATCGGATAGCATCTTGCAGCTGATGGAGATTTGTGGGATGAAGCTCCCGTTCCACCACATCCCAAAGATGCTCTATTGGGTTGAGATCTGGTGACTGTGGCGGCCATTTTAGTACAGTCAACTCATTGACATGTTCAAGAAACCAGTTTGAAATGATTCATGGTGCATTATCCTGCTGGAAGTAGCCATCAGAGGATGGGCACATGGTGGCCATAAAGGGATGGAGATGGTCAGAAACAATGCTCAGGTAGGCCGTGGCATTTAAACGATGCCCAATTGGCACTAAGGGGCCTAAAGTGTGCCAAGAAAACATCCCCCACACCATTACACCACCACCACCAGCCCAACAGTGGGAACAAGGCATGATGATCCATGTTCTCATTCTGTTTACGCCAAATTCTGACTCTACCAACAGAAATCGAGACTCATCAGACCAGACATTTCCAGTCTTCAACTGTCCAATGTTGGTGAGCTCTTGCAAATTGTCGCCTCTTTTTCCTATTTGTAGTGGAGATGAGTGGTACCCGGTGGGGTCTTCTGCTGTTGTAGCCCATCCGCCTCAAGGTTGTGTGTGTTGTGGCTTAACAAATGCTTTGCTGAATACCTCGGTTGTAACGAGTGGTTATTTCAGTCAAAGTTGCTCTTCTATCAGCTTGAATCAGTCGGCCCATTCTCCTCTGACCTCGAGCATCAACATTTTCGCCCACAGGACTGCCACATACTGGATGTTTTTCCCTTGAAAATCCCAGTAACTGAGCAGATTGTGAAATACTCAGACACCAAAAACCATTGCTTAAATCACCTTTCTTTCCCATTCTGACATTCAGTTTGGAGTTCAGGAGATTGTCTTGACCAGGACCACACCCCTAAATGCATTGAAGACACTGCCATGTGATTGGTTAATTAGATAATTGCATTAATTTTAAGACTTTTGCGGCGATAGTTCACCTCTTTATCTTTAATAGAAATAAGGAGAAATAAAGAGAGAGAGATAGAGATGGATCAATTTGTGGACTTTGGGTCTTCTAGCAAGGCCCAGATATGCAGGAGACGGTGATGTGAATGATATATGTTGATTAACATTTTCTGCAAGCCAGGATGAAGTGCTATTACCAGCTAAAGTGAAACCACAGCCACTGAAGATGACTGATTATTATAGTCGTGTCCAACAAAAGCATGGAAGAAATGTCTCCGGATAATATTTGTAAAGTGGAGTTGGTTTTTCCAGCTATTGACGTAATGACTTGTGCAATACTGTTGCCAAACCACCCCAGTATCTCCTTTTTTGCTTTTTCACCTCAATTCAAATTTTAACTAAAGAAATCAATATTTTTGATAACACTCACTTTTGTTTTTAGTTTTGAAGGTTTGAAGGCTAGAGTTTCAACACGGTAAGTCCTCTCTCATCGCATTTGTTTTTTAAGGTAATGTATCTTATATTTATGATGATACAGAACAGGACTAAAAACAACTTTTCCACTGCCCTTCTCAACTCACTCATAGTCCTATAAAAACAAATTTACTGTTTTTTAATATTAATCTTAGGCTTTTAACAATGAAAACTTAACTGCTTTTGGAACTTTGTTTACCTCATTTTGTGTGTCCAAATTATATGATATCGAATTGATTAGTTGCAACATAACGAAGGAAGACTTGAGCTATTCATATATATATATATATATATATATGAAGAGTTCAGATGCAAAACCCTCTAAGTGCCATTTGAAATTTTCTTCTAGAATGATAATTTTTATCAAGCTTGCATATTTAAGTTCAGTGATTTCACTTAAATTACAATTAATAGGTAATGTTCATTGCAATTTAAGTGAAATTACTGAACTTAATATATATATATTAAATGCATAGATGTATAAAGTACTAGAAACCCGGACATGAGTAAAACTACAAGTGCTCTATAAAAAAAGTGACTTGAGTAGAAGTTGAAGTGCTCTTTAATCACCACACATAAGTAGAAGTACTAAAGTATTTAACATTTTTTGTACTCAAGTATTGCAAGTAGTTTATTTTAAAATTAACTACTTAAGTACTAAAAGTAAAAGTACAAGTATTTGTGTCATGTAATTATTAAAGAAAGCAGTCAAAAGTTTGAACTAGCAATCAAATACGGCGCTTTGGCGGGATACAAATATGCTTTGGCGGCTGCCAAAAAAAACATCATTGCAGGACAACTCCTGCATTAGTTGTCAATGTGTGTGTCCATCAATACCATTACCCTATAAAACTGGCGTGCGATTTACGCAGCATGAAAGCCAACTTGCAACGAATGATTCGTAAAATTTTTATAATTGTACTGTACTGTATAATTGTACTGTACTGTAACTGTAATTTTTATAATTGTACTAGTAACTAGCAGAACATTAAAAAAAGTATCGAAGTAAATATTAAATGCATCGAAAATCTCGTAAAAGTAAAAAACAATACTCTAGTAGAGTACTTAAGTACGGTAAGTAGTTCTACTTCGTTACTATACATCTCTGATTAATTGTGTAAGAATATGTGGTGGAACAATTCTAATTTCTCTAAAACGCTCTAAAAAGGGGGAAGTTATTCTCCAAATATGGCTATTTAGAGAATAACTTCCCCCTTTTTTAGAGCGTTTACACTTTGCAGTAGATGTTAGTTGTGGTTTTGCAGGGCTGCCAATTCTCCCGCTCTCACAGCACACCATCGATTTCTCTAAAGTGTCATGCCAGTCAGTAAAATACCTGAAAGGGTCTATAGATCCACCAGTTGAGCCACTCGCGATCGACTAGTTTTACCGCAAATTAGTTAAAATATCCTCTAATCTAGAGAGCGATCGTGCATGCGAGACAGATGTTGAGCTCCTTACGGCGCGGACGCAAAGCCAGGACTGGAGTCAAAGCACGTTCCTCTCTGCGTTCTGTTGTCACTCCGCTGTAATCCATTACGGGTTTTCCATTCTCACTCACAGGAAAAACTGCTCCGTGTTCAATCGATTTTAAAAGATAATCTTATGTTATTTTATATATATATATATATAGTATGTATATATATATCACAAACGTCTGAATTTGTAATACTATATGTAATGGCTTGGAAAGTATTCTACACGTTTAATTCATTTTCCAGCTGCCTTTGCTTGTGCGCACCCAGGTAAAAAGAACAATTTTACAAATTCTACAAACACTTTCTGAAGTTTCTCACACAGCTACTCAGCAGTCGTTCGCGAATGCGCATGCGCCGGCGGACAGTCTTCTTCAGCGGGTGCTGGGGAAGGGTACACACTGTGCAGTACAGTGATGAATGGTGGTGACCCCACTGAAGGAGCCTCTCGAAAACAGCGACCGCAAGATTTTAATGTTGTTTATCAGCGATTGTTTTCATTCTGGGGTTTTCAACGTGATTTTGAAATCAGTGAAGTCATCTAACGGCGCTTCCCATTTGAAGAGCAAAGACGCCCGTGCGCGCGCACCTCATATCTCAACTTTCCCCGTATGATGTGAGATGTGACAGTACAGCGAGCTCGACCTGGGGGGAGAGGGGGGACTCTCCGGACAATCCACTTTCACTTTTCAGACTATCATTGTGCTTTTATCTATATCTAGATACGTGCATGCTGGTAAGTTGATTTACGTCTCATCTAGTAAGTTTAGCTCTTTGAGCCATGTCTCAAAATCTCCTGCGCTGCCTTTATACTCCATGTTGATGAGACCCGAACATGCTGTCTGTGTGGGCAGTTCACTAAGTTTTGAGACAGTCTACATCTGTGGCCTCGAGTTGAAACTGAAAAATAACACTTAAGTGATTTTTGAGCAGTTCTTAACTTTGTTTTCGACATAACAACATCAGACTGTTACATTGTTTCCAGTCTAACATAGAACGACATCATAGAACGTACTTAGAATATTACATAGTTTCCAATGTTACAGAGTAACATTATCAACGATCTCGTATATATCTTTTTTTGTTTCATGTAGAACTAAGATTTATCTGGTAAGAATATATTAGAGGCGTCGTTGCCAGTTTATGATGCAATATCAGT